CATTTCGAATACTGTGTGCAGTTCTGGTCACCACACCTCAGAAAGGATATTATAGCATTGGAAGAAGTACAGAAAAGGGCGACTAGAATGATAAGAGGGTTGGAACACTTTCCCTATGGAGAAAGGTTAAAGCACTTGGGGCTCTTTAGCTTGGAGAAACGACAGCTGAGGGGTGACATGATCGAGGTTTACAAGGTTATGTATGGGATAGAGCAGGTAGAGAAAGAAGTACTTTTCTCCCTTTCTCACAATACAAGAACTTTGTGGGCACTCAATGAAATTGCTGAGCAATCGGGTTAGAATGGATTAAAGGAAGTACTACTTCACCCAAAGAGTGATTAACACATGGAATTCACTGCCAGAGGAGGTGATAGCAGCTACAAGCATGGACAGCTTCAAGAGGGAATTAGATAAACATATGGTACAGATGTCCATCAGTGGCTATTAGCCACAAGGTATAGATAGGAACTGTTGGTCTGGGGCAAGTGATGCTCTGTATTCTTGGTGCTTGGGGGGCAACAGTGGGAGGGCTTCTAGTGTCCTGGCCTCACTGCTGGACCTTCTGATGGCACCTAGTATTTTTGGCCACTCTATGAGAGAGTGTTGGACTAGATGGGCCATTGGCCTGATCCAACATTGGCTTCTCTTATGTTCTTACATTCTTATGAGTTGAACTGTAAGGCATGAATACTTTCGAATTCCACAAATACGCTAAATACAATTTTATTCCACAACTATGCTAAACATAATTGTATATGCAAACTCAATTCCCCCCCCCTACGGCTTCAGAATTTCTAGGAATTTAACATCTCTAACTCAAAAGAAACTCCTTTAAAATTCAGGTCCATGCCTTGCCTCTGGTGGGGAAGAAAGCCCTGATGAGAGGAGGACGAAGGGATGTTTGCTGTTGGTAGGCTGCTTTTCCCTTTTTCTTGCTGGACTGGCTGGCACTGTTGCCTTTTAATGGCTGCAGACTGAGAGAAAATGAGGTTATTGTACACCTGGTTCTGTTCTCAACAGTATATCTCTTCAGCTGACAGCTATTCCTCATTGTTCCTCTCAAGGGCTGTTCGTAAACGTACCTTCACAAGACCCAACATGATCTTCACAAGAGACCCATCATGATCTTGTGAATAATCCAGGTCTTCTTGGTTTGGCAGACATGAAAGCACTCTGCAACATCGCAAGCTGGCTTGTCACTCTCCCTCTTCTTTCTCTGAAAGCATTGGCTACTCTACGTTTGTGTGACATCCATGTCCAGATCAGCGCTAACGACTTTGGCCTCACCATAAGGATTCTTCACCAACTCATAGCTGTTTCTCAAAATTCCAGAAAAAGTGTTAAATGTCATATCAGAGCAGTTTCAATGGAAGGTTTTATATGCTCCAGGTTCTCAGGCAGAGCACTTGCTACCAGAGATTCTTTAACTGGAAATGCCAGATATTGACTTTCTATGTGCAAAACAAGTTGTCTACCACTGAACCAAAGGGCCTTCCATAAATACCAGAAGCCTAGCTTGTTTTCTTGCTGCAGTTAGATATGTTGAGTAATAGTTTACTTGCCCTACCTTTTGAAGGATCCCCCTTTTTTGTGAAAAGAGTGAAAAAAGGGACATTACGTAAATTAGAGTTAAGACTTTTTATTGGAAATAAAAAGTAGTCCTGAAAGTAGTCCCAAACATCTATAAAAATGTATTACTGGCATTGTATTATTTATTAATGTGATGAACTATGTTTTATGTATTACAAAAAATTTTATGCTGTTGTGAGCCGCCCTGAGCCAGCCTAGGCCAGAATGGGCGGGATAGAAATCAATCAAATAAATAAATGTTGAAAAGTCAGTAAAGTACAATTGAATTAAAGTTTCAGGTTTCTCTGAATGCTGCTGAATAAACAATTGTAGAAACATCATTGCCATTCTAAAACCCTTGGAGTGAAGCAGTAAATTACCTGAGCTAGTCAAATGAATATCAGGTTTCTGTTGCTCCCCTTTGATTAGCTTTGCACAGTATGTTATAAGATTTGATTGCAAAAGAGTTGGTGGTGTAAGTGGAGCAAGTGGAGCAAGTGCAATTGTTTGTTCCTCTTCAGAGTGAGTTTTGAAGGCTTCTAAAGAGATATTGTAGTGCCAGGGCTACAGTGCCAAAGCTGTTGCTTGAGGTATTTTGGTCACAAATTTAGTCTGTGCACCACCTATAAGCTCTGATCAGAGGAGAACTACAGTGTGTGTGTGTGTGTGACGTGCTGTCAAGTTGCTTTTGACTTATGAAGACCCTATGAATTAATTACTTCTAAAACATCCTATCGTTAACAGCCTTGCTTAGGATTTGCAAACTGAGGGCTGTGGCTTTCTTTATTGAATCAATCCATCTCATGTTGGGTCTTCCTCTTTTACTGCTGCTTTCAGGAATACTGCAGTATGAATTATTTTGATCTTGGTCACCAGTGACACAACCCTATGCCTGAGGATCTTTTCTAGCTCTTTCATGCTGCCCTTCCCAGTCTCAATCTTCTGATTTCTTGGTTGCATTTTCCCTTTTGGTTGATGAGGGATCCAAGGAATAGAGGATTGTTAACAGTTTTGTTTTCTTCATTGTCAACCTTAAAGCTGTGTGATTCCCCAGTAGTCATTACTTTTGTCTTCTTGAAGTTCAGCTGGTAATCCTCCTTTAGCACTTATTGTTTTAACCATCATCAGTAGTCATTTTAAATCTTCACTGTTTGCCCACCCACCCCTTGAATGAAACACAACACAACTTATGGGTTGAACTGGGAGTTTTATTTATTTATTTAATTAATTATACATCTGCACCAACACATTCAAGCATGGGTTGCATTAGGCTTGCCACGCAAGCCTCCTAGCAGGGCAAAGCCATCCCAGCTCAGAGCCAGATCTGGCATTCTTCCAGACCTTACTCGTCACGGCCCGCACGTCAGTGCATAGAGGGGAAGGAAAAGCACATTCCAGCCCATGGCTGCAAAGGCTTAAGGCTTGTCATATGCGCTTCCCACCCCAGAGAGGCCCCCAACTGAGTCACCCTGACTGCCAAGCCTATAGGCGCCCAGTATGAGGAACCCCCCATTGCTTATATCTAAGGGTGCTTGCCAATTCAACATCCCTTCAACCCGTGCTTTTCCTGCTTTCCCAGTTAGAGCCTAACCAGCTTTGCCAGGCCTACGTAACCCCACCCCCTCCAACCATGTGAAGCAGGTGAAAAAAAGGCCCCCCTCTCAGCCAATCCGAGTGAGGCCCAAAAATTCCTGCTCGGCCCTGGAAATGGCAACCAGCTAATCCCACATGGTTCGCAAAAAGGAGGGCGGGTGGGGAGCTCACGCTGGGCTGATCTGAGCGCATAGGACAGCTGCCGCCAGACCTGGCCAGCCAGCTCGCCCTTGATTGGCCCACGCTCCTGCGCTGAGCCAGAATTGGCTTGCTCCACCCACCTGGTTCATTCAAGAAGGGGGGGCCAGGCAAACGTCCGTGCCTGCTCCAGGGGCAGTCATGGCTCTTTCTGCCGGTAATGTGGTCTCATCTGCATATCTCAAATTGTTAATTTTCATTCCACCAATTTTAACTCTGACTTCACCAAAATCTAAATCCAGCTTTCCTTATGATATATTCTGCATTTAAATTGAGAAGATATGTAGAATAAGTTGCCAGAATTATGTTGCCTGGCAGTGTAACAAGTGGAAGGATTGGGGGACACAGCTTGCAAGAGACAGTTTTAAAAAAAAAACAATACAGCCTTGTGTACTTCCAGAAATTAAAACGAGAAGTGTCAAGGCTAGCTCTAGGTAAAACCATAGAGTTTCTGCCAGTTTTTATGACTACCCTTTTCAGTTCCTGTAGCAACTTCTGGCAAGCACACGAGGCTGCTTTTCCACCTTAATTTCCCTCCTGCCGCTGCTCAGAGCAGGGGAGTCAGTGGGGTGGGAGATCTCCCACCCCCACCAGGAGCTTGGCATACATATGTGAAAATCTAACAATTTTATTCTACGTTTTCTCCTTTGTCCTGCTTTTAAATCCTGGCCAATCTGTTACATCTATCCCTTGACCAGCTTTAACCCACAGTAAACCCAGTGTTCCTTCACAATTTCCTCCAGTGTTCCTTCTTCTAGATTTTGTGGGCATTTCCTTATTTTATTTTTTTAAAAAAATTCCTTTAAATAGTGTGTGCTTTCTTTTATGATGAATTAAAGAACAAGTTCTTAAGTTCAAAACAAAACAAAAACTCCAGCCCTTTCCTCCAGAGTGAAATTGACTAGCCTGGAAGTCCCTTTCCATACTCTGTCAATTTCATTACGATTTTTTTAAAGGGCAGGGCAGCATACAAGCTCTTGTTGTGCTGCTAGGTTTTCCACTTCCTTCCAGCAACTACTGCATGTATACTTAGCAAAGAGTTGCAGGATCCCTCATGCATGTACTTGCATGATGCATGTGTTTGTTAATTTCTGTTTGTCATATTTACATGTTAGTATTTCAGTGTACCTTTAAAACATATCAGGTGATGTAAGAAAGTCTTTATTGCCGCTCTCCACTACAGCTGGATACAGCTTCTGGCACTGCCATTTTCAGCCTTCCACCAGAATGCCTGCTGTTCTTTGGAAACAGAGGTAGAAGAACAGGTGGCCCTGTTTTATCTACCCAGGAGTACCACCTGTGCAGAAACATCAAGGAGAGTGAAGGTTTTTCCCCCCCCTTTTCAAAGGGCAGCATAAAATTGTTGCTTTTTATAAAATATATGTCATGTGTAGCTGATATGATAAGATATTCTATTGATTTATGCTCTTTCATGACTCTTCTAAGGCACACATTTATTGTTTTTGACTTTTTCCAGAATGCAGAAATGGGTACTTTTTCTCAATGCATGTGGACTGTTTTTACCATTGTTTTGCAAAGGCTTTGGAAGATTCATTTCATTGATGTGGGTGGCAAGGTGTGTAGCTGTGTAGGTCATATTTTCTCTCCCTTTTCTTTCCAGGGAATAATATGTGGGAGACACTGGACTTCATGTTTCCAACATAGGAACAGAACCAGGTTGGGGATCTCCACGTCTGAGAGAATGCTGGGAATCTGCAGAGGGCGACGGAAATTCCTGGCTGCCTCTCTGACTCTTCTTTTTGTTCCTGCTATAACCTGGATTTACCTGTTTGCTGGGAGCTTTGAAGGTAAAAGGAAAGTGATGTCTGTACTTGGTGTAGTTCGGGAACTTCAGAGTTTTTGGAGTTGCATTGATGCTCCTTAAGATTTATCAGTCTTTGGACAGATGGGATAAATTTGTCATCTGTTGTCTCCCCCAGTAAAAAGGGGAAAAATGCTCCTGTTCTGACTTTCCACTGTGACATTTTCAATATTTATATTTCTCATCGCCTAGGTAGTTGATTTCTGTGGGTGTACTTGTTTTGAGGGCTGAAAGCATAAATTGATTTATGAGCATCAAGACTGATTATCACAAATAGAAACTGTAAATTTTGAGTCACATTTTGTGCTAGCCCTGATTCTTTGTTTCTAACAGTCTCATTGCTAAGAAAGAAGACAGAAATAAATGTTTTCCAAAAATAGCTTAGTAGTGCTGTCTGTTATGTTAGGAAGTTCAGAGCTGGTATATTGTTGCAAAATGTCTGCACCTACTTCTTATTCAGATATTGTGTCTAATAGTGCTTACGGTGTTTTGTTTTGCTTTGTTGTTGGCAGAGAGTTAAGTGAAAATGGTGGCTTGACTACCATATAATATTTAGAGCTAGTGTTTTAAATGCCAGCTAGACAGTCATGGCCCTACTGCCCTTGACATACCTTAGTATCAGGGTGCATTAATTTTATAGTAACATGTCCCAAATCTGCTTTATAGTTGGAACTGTGTCATACACCCTGGAGGGGAATCTTGAACTATATAACTATATATAACTATAACTATATATATAATAACTATATATATATATGTATACACACACACACACACACACACACACACACATAAAACCAGTGTGTGTGTGTGTGTATGAAAGAGAGACAGTGCACACTTGCTTTGTTACAGGGATGCCTTTCAGTAGGCTGAATCCATACTAGAGAGCAATTCACTTAGCCCTTGTTGCAGCCCTGTTGAATTTTTATCAAGTATGTTCAAATGTTTGCCTGGTTTAACAGGAAAAGGGGATCCCTCCCTGCAGATTGTAAGAAGTATCTGTAGACCATATATTAATGCTATACCTGTCTTTGATTTTGTATGCAACATATAAGTAAATGTGTGTTGTATGTAAATGTGCATATTTGTATCTAGTGCTGTGTGTAAAGTATGCACTTATGAAGGTGAAATTCATTATGAATTCTCCTGTCCACTCAAATGAGATTGCAATACACACTTTTGGCCTCTGGAGGCCAGTGGCCTTGCAAACACAGAAAGTGGCCATCCCTATCACCATCATGATTATATCTTATATTCTAATAGGCAAGTGTGGCCTAATTTGCAAATACTTAAATCCACAGATCTGTACAACACTGACATAAAACAGGTACAAATAGAAACAAACAGGGGATTCCCGAGATTTGCAGATAAATCTAAAAATGTTAAAAAATACATAGTGGGGCTTAAATCCTTCCAAAACAAACCCTGTAATAAAGCAGTGGCTGTTGGTGGGCAAATCACAATAGTTTGACCAGCATTCCAGGCTTTGTTGGTGCTTGGTTTCTATCAGAAAAGACAGGGAGGTGGGGCAGGGCCTTTTTCAGGGCTCTTTTGAGAATGAGGATTCATTGAGACTAGGTCTGGAAGCAACCACCAGACAATTTGATACCATCCAAATTGCATGAGTAACTCAGGCCTGGCTACTTGCTACTGTTCAACTGCTGCCACTTCATGGCTGCGATCAGATGGGCAAGCTGCTCCGATGTCATGGCAGCTCCCTACCAGATTTGAGGTGCACACATCTGCCTCTTGTCCCTCAGTCATTGCCCACCCCACCCCCCGTCCTCACCCCCAATTTTCCCAACACCAGATAAAGTCCTGTGTTCATGACTGAACATGCTTTACTGCGGATTTCCAGGTGTCTGATCTCTCCCTTGTGTGCTCAAGCCACTTGGTGAGGTCTGATGCTTCCTGTTCCTGGCCACCATTTTTTGCAGTTAGTGATGTATACATAACTGCATATCCATTTCTAGCAAATAAGCAGTTATGTGCATGTGCTCATTAGAGGGTTTTTTTAAAAAAAGAAGCTGTCTGCCCGCCCTCTCTGTGCTGACTGCACAGCAGTGATCTGAATGGTCAACTGCAGGGTGAGGCAGGAATAGGGGTGGCATTTCTGGTCACATCTCTCTGGAACAAATAGCTCTGGAGAAATTAGAGGCACAGCCAGACCATGCCAAATCCTTCCATCTGATCACAGCCCATGAAAGTGGGAAGGGTTTCAGACTGGGTCCTTGAATCCCCATTCTGCTGTGGAAACATACTGGGTGTGTTACACATTCTCAACTTACCCTACCTCTCAGGGTTGTTGCAAGGATAATATGGAGGAGAGGAGAATTATTTAAGCTGCCTTTGGTCCACATTGTGGAGAAAGGCAAGATATAAATGAAGTCAATAGATAATAAGAGGGTAGATAAAAAGTAGATTGGCAGGTAGGTGTGAAGGAGAGAAGGAAGCAGGGAAAGGTCAGGATATGGGAATTGCTAGAATGAGGGCAAGAGGAAATAATGTAGGGATGGGATGCAATTGTTGCAGGTTCCTCCCCACTGTAAGCAGACACAGCTCAGCTAGCAATACACAACTGGGCCATAGGTTTCCTGGAGAGAGGCTGCCAGGGGAAGGGAAGGAAGGAAAGCTGAAGATGGGGGGGGGGCATATAAAGGTAGGTTGCCAGGTGGGTTATGGGGCTTTCATGAAGGGGAAAGAGGATGTATTGAGGGAGGGGGAAATGAGATGCCACCCACAAGTCCTTGCAGGTTGTCCACTTGTTTTACTATGTTCTGCTTCTCATGTTATATAACTAGGACTTGCTTGTTGCATCCTTTTTCAATGTAATCCTCACGGATGTAGACAAGCACTTATACAGATGAGTGTTCAGTTAATTACAACTCTGGTGTAACATGCAGTCACTTAGAAAGAAACATTTATAGAAGTACACAAGGGAAGTGATGGGAACTGGTTTCTTGAAATGTTGATGGCATTGACATGCTGATGAGATTTGATCTCTACCTCCTCCTCTCTAATTTGAAACCCCTCTCTTGCAGGAAAAATAGTGATATCTTATCTACTTATTTCCTACCTCCTGTTCCAAATATCTTGAAGTCTACCTATGGATAATCCCATCTCTCAGTTGCTTGGAGATATTTACCTATCTGAAACATAAGCATCACTCAACAGGAGGCTAAATTTCTTTCCTTGGGGTGACTAGTAGAGCAACACACAATCAGACAGTATCAAGACAGCAATCAAATAGCACACAGGCAGCAAGGAACCTTGCCCAGGTTTGCCTGTATTAAATATTCAGAAGACTGAGTTGCATTTGTGCATATGTGAGTTGGGGTGTAAGAGGGAAATGAGTTGTGAGTTTTAGAAAATGCAGTTCTCAAAGTAGCTTGCAGAATTTACAAAAAAACCCAGTAAAACAGTTAAAAGTAAGCAAGATAGAAACAAGCAAGGGCAAATAGCAACGAGAAAAACAGTAATAAAACAGCAGCCTTAACCCATTCCAAATGCTCTCTGGAATAAAAACGTCTTCATAGAATTTTCAGAAGTCCATGAGTGAGAAGTCCTTGCAGTCTTCTTGGAACAGAGCATTCTAACCCTGTAGGCAGTATGGCTGAGAGAGACTTGTGCCACATGCCAACCAATTTTACTTTTGCTAAGGTGAACATGCAGAGTAGAGCTGAGATCAGTAGCAGGTTCATATGGGCAGAGGATGGATCCTTCTTTTGTTTTTGTTTTAATCACAGTGGTTGGAGAAAAAACAAAAGCAGATGATTTCTTGCTGTGCTATTGGGAGAGGCAAATTACTGTTGGTACATAGTAGGAGTCCCCAACCTTTTGAGCCGGTGGGCACATTTAGGATTTCGAGAGAGGGTAGTGAGCACTGCACCAAAATGGCGCAGGAGGTGGAGCCAAACACAAAATGACCACCACAGAAGGTGGAACTGAATGTAAAACCTCCCTCCTCACACCTACTGGGGAAAAAGAAAGCTTGAAGGGGAAATGGAACTACACATTGACTAAGGAAAACCCAGTTGCTTACCAGTCCTCCTCATCCTCCAGTGGAAAACCCTTTTATTTGAATGAGGGCATCCAATAACAAGCCCTGTCTTACAATTGGAGAAACTTGGTATATAGCCTCAGTCAGCCATATACTTTTCATATCTGCAAGACTGCTTTGAGAAGGTTGATGTGTCAGCACCTTGCCTCCTACCATACTTTGCCTCCTGAAGTGGCTTGATACCACGATGCATTGCCAGGAACTCAGTAAATAGCTTCATACAAACCTTTCAGCCCCCCATGTGCAATATGGGGATTAACGAGAATGCAAGTTAAGTGTTTTTAACATTCAAAAGCAAATGTATTTTTAGGTTATTATCTGCAATATTTGTGTTCATTTTCAAATTGTAGCAAAAGTACACAAAAATGCCACTCTGGTGTTTAATCCCAGAGAAGTCTCAGTGCAAAATTAAAAACAAACTTCCCCTTCTCCAGGATAGCTCTGTGACCCTTAAATTCTGGATCCTGATCCTAGGTGTGAAGAAGGAGATTCATTTACCCATTTCATGCAGGAGACTCAGTTACTCATTTCACCAGCAAAAGAAATGTGCTCTGCATATGTTTATCTTATATTCTAATAGTCAAGTGTGACTCAATCTGCAGATACCTAAATCTGTAGATTGGGGCCACAGACTGTGGCCAGACTGACATAAAACTGATTTTCCTGCAAACCTGGGGGACTCCCAGGTTGCAGAAATACCTGGAAACTTTAAAAAATACATTGGTGGTTTTAAATTCCCTCCAAATAATAAGATAATGTTAGCTCCACCTTCCTCTTTTCTGTCCTGCTGCTGCGATGACAATGACATGGTGAGAGGAACCCTTGGTGGGCCTGGTGGTGGAGGTGAGCTGCAAGGGGCTCACTGCCAGCAACGATGGGGTGGTGGTGGGGAGAAGCCTGGGAGATTGGGAGCTGTGCGGCTGTCA